CGAGCTCAGCACCTTTAAACGAATCCGCAGGCGGAAGGACAGGCGGACTAGTCGTGACGACCGATCATGGGCTAGCACGCCGAACTAAGATTTTGCGTCAAAGTGGGTACAGTAATATAGAAATTTCTCACAGAGAAACTTGCATTAGAGACAACTATATACGATATGAGTAAGACAGCCTACTACCGGTCATAACTATTCCGCGTCACACCCGAGACTAGTCAATACTGTATGAAGACAGCACGCCGTGCTTATCAAATTGGAAAGCGAACCCCCCGGGACACTCCCCCGGCACAAGCTACACTAACGTCCGATGACTTCACTGAACTCAGGGTGATACATTCGAGTCCAATATAGTTCAGTTATGTGAGCGGAACATACACGAGCTGCCGGCGAGTATCTTACGAGCACTAGTAGCTAATCGACACACCACGTGCATACATGTCTCTCTGCGCGTGTACCCGAAAACACACTCTATCTTGTTGCGACACTGTAAGTACGAGCGTCCGTGTCCATTGCACGCCGGACAAGATCGCCTATCTTCTGCAGGCCCGCACTCCTACATACGCAGTAGACGCCGAGAGAGAATATCGAACCGTTCGACCGCACTGGATAGTTGAAGTGCCAGACTCATCATCTCTGATTTCATTCGATATCAGGAGCGTGCATACAGACGTCTGCGCATGATCGTAAGTGATCCGGCACCCTCGGTGTAGTGTAGTTGGACGATCCGATCAACTAATATTAGGTAACAGACACACCGCACGTCATAATACCCACAGAGAGAGCAAATGTCATTGACGCCCGACAGAGCAGTTTATGCGGGTCTGCATTAAGCTCGCTGGCGTGCTCGATGAAGCTTCCAACGCAGTGCTGCTCCGGCTCGCTAGCTGCGTCCTGGCGCGCCCTGCTGCCTGCTCGCAGGCGCTACGGCTGAACTCACTCACTGCTGGACTGCTGTGTGGGCTATGCGCGTGCTTGAGTAATGCTGCGGCATAACGCTGCCCGCCCACATGAAACTAAAGCTCCCTACAGGCTTAAATGCTACTGTCAATGCCACGCGCCACGTGCTTGCCGACCCGCTGCACTCCGCTGCCTGCACAACACTTGTGGACCCTAAGCTAGAAGCGGTGATGGCTACTCGTGGAGTGTGTGCCCGGTTGCCGGTGTGGGCGTGTGGGCGTCCGTGTGGAGACACACACCAGCGTGTGCAGACGTAGCGCGCTACGACCCGCCGAGCGCAACATCAAAAGCGTAGTCCTTGTAGTGAGTTGCGTCTCTCAAATTGCCTCAGAGATAAACATCGTGTCCCTGGAATGAATAGTCCTGCTGTAACGCCCGGTGGTGTCATTGACCGTCTTGCTTAAGTGCGTGACACCGTCATACTACGGTGTCGAGTCGCGTATCCGCCGCGGGTCCGCGCTGCAGCTAGCACAAGGACGACGCGATGAGCTGCCGGTTGCTCTTCCCTGTGCTCGTGTGTGGCCTGCCTGCCATGTCCTGCAATGTGTGCGCTTGGCAGGAGATGAGACCAGAAGATGAGAAAGGTTTGTACTGGTCTCCTACGCTATAAAAAACTCCCACGAAAGATGCCGAATCTAAAATGGGGGCGGCGCGCGTGTGTGGGGAGCACTGGGCAAAGCGAAACGAGATGCGCGGTGGGTAGTGTGAGCCGGTGCGCTTGCCGTGGGAGGAGGTGCGTGCGCCCGTGTGGCACGCAAGTGTCGCGCACGGCAGATCTGCCGTGTAATTAAAGCAAGCGCCTACGCCGTGTACCCGCTATGCCGCTTAGGTAGCACCAGCCCACGGAACGAATAGTCCATAGAAGGTCGTAAAGTTGCTGCGCCAGAGTCCGCTCTGGGCCTCGTTATCTTACCTGGCGCTCAAGAATATTTAAAATGTACGGTCGATGACGCTACCGTTGGTGACGGGTCCGTGAAGGGGCTGAATGACAATGCGCGCGAATAGTGGTGCGAAGAGAAAGAGACACGTCCTAACCTGTGGCGATGAGTGCGGCCCGAAATAAAAGCGATTGTATTTCCGTACGTAGATGAAGGACCCAAATGCCGCGTTGTGGTGCACCGTGTATGGTGCTCTCTTAGTGTGCCGATCGCACGTGTTGGAGTCGCCTGTGCTAGCCTCCAATTTTCGGTGGCAGCAGCCTGCCGAGCCGGAGCGTGTCTCCTACAATGCAGGCTCAATGTTGACATGACATGTTCCGTGAGCCCTAGTCACTAGCGACGGTCGAGTCTCGTTGACGCAGTTGTGGCCCGTCAAGAGCGCATTTCCTGACTTCCATATGCGCACTCTGAACGCTGGAGGTAGCGACGGGAGATGTATTTCCCTTATTCTTCTGACATTCTTGCACGCTGTCTCTGACGCTGTTGAGCGCGACGCTGTAAAACCGTAGATCATTCCCAATCTCACGATTTTAGACGATGCGATACCGCTGAACCCCCGAACCGCCATCGCGAATATCCGAGTTCCCCCGGTACGTTCAAGAGTCCAAGGTACTGCCTGCCTTGCACTGAACCGATGCCTTGCTGCTCCAAGCGTGCTCGACGACGCACGCAAGCGGCCTCGGGCACTTGACGGACGCGCCATGTCTCCTGACCGTGGTCGATTCGTAGCGAAGGCCTTCGCTGCGCTATCTGACTATGGTCCAGAGTGAACCTGCTAAAATGAATCACAATTTCTGACGGTAGAGTGCGCATACCCGGCTTTTGCGATTGTTTCCCTTACCCGGCATAAAGTCCTATTATAGTCCCAGTACTAAGATTAAATAAATAGCTATAGAGCGTAACGTACTCTATAAATCATGAATTGTTCTGCCTAGCAAGAGACTTTTGCATTAAGGAGTCCCATTGTCATGCATAATCTTGTACAATACGACCAGACAGTGTCGAACAGCCTCAAAGGAGCTGTGTGCCGTTACTCTCGTGCGTGTTTCTAGCTTATAGCAGTCATCGAACTAGTAGCTGAGTCGGCGCACATACCCTAGCCCTGCTCTAATTGCTTGCAGTAATTTTGTCTTTTAAATAGTCAAATCCCCTACGCGCCTGAGTGCTTCATGGCTTGCTCGACATCTCGCAAGATGCGTGCCCGCCTCCGCGCGCGGCATCATTCGCTCTGCCGGTGTACCTCGCTGGAGCCCAGGCTTCGCCTGCGCCCTCGCCTGCTGCTGGAGCTCTGTGATGCCCTGAGATCCTTTCTCTAAAATCCGGCCGCCGCGATTCATTCATTAAGCCTCTTTTAGAGCGTGACACTAAAGAGTTCGACTTGATACGAACAGACAATAATACAAGGATCCCTTTGAGCGCATAACATAAAAAATTTTCTGTCCGCGCGGGTAGACTGCTGCGCCTTTCAATGTGCTATAACCTTAAAACGAGCTTCTGAGTACACACCTTCCTCTAAGTCCATTGTGCCCTTTGCGCTTGCGCAGAATTTATAGGCTTGGAGAGACCTATAATGCAGCTACCGGAGCCATCTGCTGCTCAGCCTGCTTAATATGCCTATTGATCTGTTCTCTGTGCCTTGGCGCGCGCCTTGCCCTCAGTTTCGGCCTAGCTAAAGCGGCGGTCTGCGACTGTTAGTAGACTCGAATTGGTCACGTAATGGAGATGAGTCATTAACTGTCCCGGGCAGTACATTGCTGTTCATGCGAGCTGTGACAATTTACGCTAGCGTGAAGCCAGTTCTTAGATTAATACAATAGTAAAACTCCTATAAAAAAATACTTTGTACAGCACAGCTGACGGTCTGATAATTTTTTCCCTTTTGTTAATTTGGGGCTGCCACAGGTATATCCCTGTTGAAGTGGTTAATACGACAACCCCTGTCAGAGTGAGCATAAGCTGCCTACTTTGATGCTTGCCCCGCTCAGTTTGCCGTGCCTACTAACGGGTGTCTGCTAAGCGCGCGTAGCAGAGCACTGCCTGGCCGAGTTCTCCCTACAATACTGTAGCAAGAGCGGCTTCGCCAGGCCTAAATGGTTTAATATCGCTCCCGCCCTACGGGTTGAGCGTGCCGTGGACTGCGGCTACATCGGCATTGTGTTGTCCGCTGGCGCGGTTGGCTTTTGCCTTGCGTGTGGTGTTGAATTGTTTGGCTGTTGCTTAAAAAGTGCTTCGCTGCGCGAATGTAGGGTATGCTTGAGTCGTGTTGCTGTCTCGCTTGAAAGCGTCGTGCGGCTGTGCGTGTGGCAGCTGCTATGACGTAGACCAAGATGTCGTTTCCTTTGGTGAGATTCCTGCTCTGTTGCTCGCATATTTTTGCAACGTTCAGAGGTAGAAACTTCAAACTTGGTCCAAAGTGGACCCGCTTAGGGGCGTGGAACCGCTATTGATTTTGAAGTGCCTTTCACCCAAAGGTTCAAGACGTCACAGGTTCACATTTGATGAATGATAGATAGATTAGAGGCATGGAATAGATAAGATAGCGATAGATGAATAGATAAGAAAAATAGATACACTGTAGATTGATAAGATAGATTATAGATATGCCGCTGAAGTGCGAGCGTGCAGGGTGGGGGGACTTTGATTCCACAGCCAAGCCGTGTGCCCCTGGCGCGAATCCACTGCAAGGTTTACGCTGACAGGGACTACTGTATCCCTTAGCCTGTGGTTGCGTGTTGTAATGTCTAACAAACCAGCGTACCTAGCGGAAGTGAACTGAATCGTTGCCAATGTTTTCCAAGGAGATTTTCCATTAGATTTTCTAAATATGTTTTTTTTAACCTATAACCCAATAAATAACAAAAAGCAAAGTGTTAGAATCGAACCTGATGCGTAGGAATGAAGCACGAAAATTTTCAACAGGAACAAACAGAACGACACTACTCAAATTATTATATAGATACCAAAAATGAGCAAAATCCGTTGAACCTGAACTGACTAATGGCAATTCCCATTTTTGGCAAAAAATTGCCGTGGCTCAAAATTACGTCGACTGGCGTGCTCCAAAATAGGACGTTTAATATGGGAGTATAGCAGTAACAACTGTACCCAATTTTGACTGTTGCCGTTCGTGATGGACTAACGTAGGGACTCGCTGACGATGAGGTTCAGTCTTCGCCAAAAGACAAAATCCTTTACTGGACATTCGGTCCAGTAAAAAATATATTTTTACCAGACCGAATGATATGTTACGGGACCAAAAAAATATTGAAACATTAAAACATTCACATATTTTGAACTATTTATTTGATCTGAAACACTCCATCATCATCAAAGCTTTATTATATGCAGAAAAGTCTTCGTCACTGTTATCACTGCTATCTGTATCAGTATCTCTATCAGTATCTGTCTCCAGTTCTATATCAGCAATATTAGAATCTGTTGCGGCTTCAAATTCAGGCTGGACTATATCCCCTTTTGCCGATCCTTCTGCTTGTGCTCCTACATGTAGATCTGGTTTGGTTTTCTGTGCCAAGGTTGCCTTGGACCTCCGTCTGTAATTCAGTTTCCTGGTTGCTAAAGGTGCTGCCTGCAAATATAATTATTATATAACATAATAATAATTAATTTAACGTAGCGTAATTACTAAATAATCCACAAAAACTCAAGCTGACAAGGACCACATTGCAAACTGAATTTGAAAGAGAAAAAAAGGTTGCAATTATTGATGCAATTACCTACCAGCCACATGTCAATTGCCTTATCAGGGCTGAAGTCTGCAACTGGAGGAGACTCCAGCTTGACTAACATCAAGTTATTTAAAGTGGACTCTTTCATGCTAGCTCGCCTGCTTGTCTTGATCAGTTTCATCTGACTGAATGATGTTTCGCATGCTACAGATGTTGGCGGCAACCATAACAACAAATCCATTATCATCAGAATGGCCTTAAACGCTGGAAACCCAGAATGAACAGTTGCCCACTTTAAAGATTCCAGATGGCCTTCATGTCTGTTAACAAGAGAAAAAATACAAAATTTCTGAAATAGTATGTATTAAAAAGCTTCTCTCACAAACTCACTGTTACTACTGTTTTTTGTTGCAAAACATTACATTACTAGCCAGTCTTATTGTCAAACATTACATGTGATAAATATTTTTAAATACACAAACCGTTTGTAGATATAAGCTTTTTCAGATGCTTCTACTCACTCAGCGCTGTGTCACTGTCATCAATGCCTGCTTGTTTGAGTGTGTTCGAGAAGTGCTGCAGAATTGATTTTACCTCATGGTCTCCATATTCTAAAGAATACATGACGATGCAAGTTAATTTAGTAGCATAAGAGAATTACTGCACTGTTGCAGTGAAAGTTGCAGTCCATGTCATAGTTTTTAACTACAAAATTTCTACCTGCAATAGAATCTGTGTCTGGTGCCGGCCAGCAGCTGAAGTTAGATATCCGAGTAGCCTCTATAACACCTGTCTGAGAAGCATGAAGAGAAAATCTGCTTGTCACAGCCGCTGTAAGCTTGTATCTCATGTTGGGGAAGCTACCTTTGGTCAGAACATTCTGATAACAGCCATCTTCTAATAGCTTCTTAAGAGCCTCATTGTCTCTACAAGAAGTAAATGTTCAGGTTTTCATAGAAGTCCGTAATTAAATTTCAGATGCATAATAAATGACCTCTAACAATTTAGAACTTAACTATGGTACTAATTATACGTACCTTGTTTTGTACTCTTGAAGGAGGTCTAGGGTAGATACTGTCCATGCAGGTGTGGACCTCTGCAAGAGTTACCACATTCTGTTGGTGTTTGAGAGATAATCTCGCCAGTGGTTCAAGCAGATCATGTAAAATGTAATTTCAGTAAACTATCTGACAGGGAAAAAATAAAATTTATTTTTCGGGGGCTACGTTTCAAGCATGCGTGCATGAAAATAGCACTCTAAAATTTGGTTTGCATTGAACTCTATGCAAATTTACGGGGGTTCTTTTAGACATTTCCGGGTCTCTTTCTGGCATTTCGGGGATAAATCGCCCGAGCCCCCGTGTATTTTTTTCACTGCTATCTGATATGGACAGATAGTATTACAATTACTATTAGTATTACATAATTAAAGATTTTTGTAAAGTGAGAGTGAGATGCCAGACACCCCCCTCCCCTTGTGGACTCTACAGTCATGACTTCACAACATAATTTTAGATTGAGGTAAAGAAAATTACTTTTAGAAGTATCATGAAAGCAAGCAGATGTCTATCTAGCAACAGTTTTGCCAGTCCTCCAGCCTTCGCATTCTCGTGGCTTGTAGTGCAGAGGTGAGCATCATATGCTGGATAGTTTCTGAAGTAACTCTTGAGGGCCCGTACAACGTGCGCCATCCAACGAGTGCCAGTCACTTTTGACGGAAGCAAACCATTGACATGAAAGCTTTCAAGAGCTGATAAAAGACCCTGTTTCTGTTTGTGCGTTGAGTAGAAATAGAATAATTCAACCAGATGAGACGGGATACTAGAGAAGCGTTGCCGAAAGGAGGTGTTGCCAAGTGCTGATAAACTGTTGACACCAAGAACAGATTAAGATTGTTGATAATACAACTGCTAACGCGTAACACAGTTTGTCATTATTAGCTCCCGTGTACTAGTATAGTACGTAGTATTAGTAGTCCTGTACTTCTTAGTACTAGTAGTCACAGTAGTAGCTAGTCAGTAAACTGTACTAGTAATGTATTGTAAGCGATGTACTTGTAGTAATACTAATAGATAGTATTCGTAAGCTGTGATACAATTCAATGGCTCCGCATTGGGGATCCGAGTGGTTAGATATCATATATTAATATATATATAGGTGCCTGTAGAATTCACGGAGTACACGCAACCATTTGGTTTATCTGGACCCATGTTCGCTATCCTTGGCCCTACCGAGTTCGGGAGCACTCGACGGAAATTTCACGTGAATTCTATAGGAACATTAAGTTCAAGCTTCCCACTGCTTCACCAAGTTTAGGCACTGTCTGCCACCATGTTGAATATTTTAGTTGAGTGACTAAGTGTATACTCGTGCAGAGATAGAAATAGCAGAATAAGACAATTGATATTTATGGATTTATTACGGAATAGACCGAAGACGATGGTTGTATTGTTTCCTATATATAAGGATCCTCTAAAACTCAGCAGTTCAACGAGCTACGCATGAGCGCTATATATTGTTACAATGTGAACAAAAAAACTCCGTTAATTGACAGCAAATAAAGCGGCCTAGTAGCGAACAAAATTGGGAGGCATTTCTAGCCAGTCTCCGTACCTAACTGGGCAGATGCGATCCTCGTGCAATGGGCAGCAAACTGCTCCAATTCAACGACGAAGGCCGTCTGGTCAAAACAGTAGACTGTTAAAACACAGGTCTATATATTCGCACACCAAAATTTCTTTTGGATTTATTTATATAATACTTGTTTATAATATGGTTATTTGTTCAGTGAAAAACATCACAAAGAGCCAGCTGAGATGAGGAACATCTCTACCCTGGACTGACACTTTAGATAGCTTATTGATAGCTATTAGATCTTTTTGCTGAACACACAAATATCAAGTCTAACAAATAAATCAGGTCACAATCACAAGTTGACCAACTGTTACGAGCGCATTACGTCACGTCACAATTGTCCGTTCATGATCCCGACTCGCAAGCGGCGCCAGATTTTCTTTCCAGCGCTCTTGTCATAGCTAAGGCCCTGAGGCTTGCTGTAGGTATCCCACTAGCGGCGTATGAGTTGGTAAACTCTCGATGTGTGCTACGCTAATACTGACATAAATGACCATATAGCAG